TTTTCGAAGATAGATTTGAAGTCCGGATATCATCAGATAGAGGTTTATCCTGATGATCAGTATAAGACCGCATTCCGGACTAGGTATGGGCACTACGAGTTTATAGTCATGCCCTTTGGACTAACCAACGCGCCAACGACTTTTCAACGCTATATGAATGACTTGTTTAGGCCTTGGTTAGACGGATTCGTTGTAGTTTACTTAGATGACATTTTAGTTTTCAGTAAGACCCTCCAAGAGCACCAGGGTCATTTGCGGCAGGTCTTGGAGAAGTTGAGAAAAGTTAACTTCAAGATCAACGCCAAGAAGTGCGAATAGGCAAAGACCCAAGTTTTGTATCTAGGTCACGTCTTAGACGGAGACGACATCAAGCCAGAAGATAGCAAGATTGCAGCGATTCAAGATTGGCCTACGCCCCGCACGTTAACAAAGTTGCGGTCGTTCCCAGGCCTAACGAACTGCTATAGGAAGTTTGTGAGAAACTTCTCCACCATCGCTGCACCCCTTCGCAGATTGCTGAAGAAAGAAACAATCTGCAAGTGGGATAAGGACTGCACATTTGCCATAAAAAAGTTTAGAGCAGGTGTTGATAGAGTATTCAGTCCTTAAGGGTCACCATTCCGTCCTTACCTTTTGTCGTCACTACTGACGCGAGTCAGTACGGTATAGGTGTTGTGTTACAGCAAGACGATGGCAATGGGTATAAGCCCGTAGAGTTCATGTCTGCCAGAATGCCTTCTGAGAAGGTAGCAACAACCACCTACGAAAAGGAACTCTACGCTCTCAGGCAAGCACTAAAGCACTGGAAGCATTACTTGCTTGGGAGGCACTTCAAAGTGTATTCAGACCACGAGACTCTCAGGTGGCTGAAGACACAGGCCAAAATGACACCTAAGTTGACTAGGTGTGCCGCAGAGATAGACCAGTACGACTTTGAGCTCAAGCCAGTTAAGGGCAAGTATAATGTAGTTGCGGATGCTCTAAGTAGGAGATCAGACTACTTTGGAGCGATAGTCCAGAAAGACCTGCAACAAAAAGTTAGAGAGTCATATGCGCAGGACCCTATCTACAGTGACCTTCTTAAGAAAGTAAAGGAGGCCCCAGAGACCGAACCAGATTACCGCACTACTGACGGATTACTATTTGAGAAGACTAACGTAGTGGACCGACTCTGCGTCCCCAACAGCGAAGAAATCCGAAGTTTGATCCTAGGGGAATGTCACGATACAGAGGGACACTTTGGTTGGCAAACGACTCTAGCCAACCTAATGCACGCGTACACCTGGCCAGGGATGAAAACTGATTGTATAGAGTATGTTCGCAGTTGCAAAGTTTGCCAGAGGAATAAGACTACTACGCGTGCCCCGCTAGGTCTTCTCAGACCCTTGCCTATTCCTGACCAGCCAGGAGATTCAGTATCCATTGAGTATGGATGCTGGCGTCAAGAGTAGGCACGGTAAGAGCCAAGTCATGGTCGTAGTTGATAGATTTAGCAAATATGTTGTTTTTGTTCCTTTGCCTTCTGAGGCACGTACAGAGTTAGTGATTCAAAGGTTTTTTGATCACTGGGTCAGTGAGGACGGGGTCCCATTGTCCATAGTTAGTGATAGAGACCCGGTTCACTAGTCAGAACTGACAGGAGTTGATGAGAGTCTATGGCTCCAAGTTGTTAATGTCATATGGCCGTCATCCAGAGATCAACGGTCAGACTGAACAGATGAATAAGATCGTGCAGCAAGTTCTGCGAATGTACATCAGACCTGATCAAATGAACTGGGATAAGATGCTTCCCAAAAAAGCCAGCGCCTACAACAACAGTGTGCACTTGTCTACCTGTCGCACTCCCAACGAGCTGCACAAGTCCTTTAGACCGCGCAGTCCGTTTGAAGGACTTAACCGGGATCAGATTTACAAGCTACCGCCTGGTACTAGGGAGTTCGCGATACAGCACGAGAAAGAACTAGCTACTGTTGTAAAGAACCTCAGGAAGGCCTAGCATAGGATGATAGAGCAAGCCAACAAGCATCGTCACCCATCACAGTTTCAAGTAGGCGACTTAGTCTGGGTCAAGTCAAAAGAGTTTGCTCTTTCGCAGAAGTTACTGCCTGCGTATAGAGGACCGTGGCCAGTCCTAGAGGTCAAGGGCAGCGAGGATGGACCGTCCTACACGATTCCAGCGCACCTCCACACCTACCCTGTATTCCATGCAAAGTTGTTGCCGTATAGAGGAGATCCATGATCCCCCCAGACATGGACGGAAGGTTTGACATTGACAGCATTGTAGGTGAGTTGTGTTCAGAACATGAGGTAAAGGTCGTCCACAAAAACAATATAAGGTCCGATTCGCTTATCAGGAGCCCGAAGACGACCGCTGGTTTACTAGAACGGAACTTCCAAAGACAGCTCCCGACATAGTTAGAGCCTACGAGAGAGATAAGAAAGGTAAAGGTCCTGCCTTAGACTGAGTTATTCTTGGAGGACCTCGAATTTAGGCCGGTGGGAGTGAAACGGTTTTTCACCTTTGCAGAGGCAGATGCAGATCCTAGGATTAGATCCCCAGACCTTACCTTACCCATGTACTGAGTTCACCCCTGAGTGTTTGAACCAGTGACCTGTGTATTCGCAAACAGTTGGTAGGCTGTTTTAGGTCCGTAGGTTGTAGGGGATTCGATCTGTAGACCTGTTGGATAGGAGGAGTTCTAGAAGTCGTAACTGTAGACTTCCCGAAGGGTCAAGGCCGTAGCTGCTACAGTCCAGAAAGGTAAAGGTCGTAGCTGCTACAGTATCGAAAGGGCAAGTTTACAGCCTTCCGGAAGGTCTGAGTAGTGGCCTTTCGAAGTTCCCCACGTTTAGGCTGAGGCAAGTGGGCAAGTGGTGAGGCAAGTGGTGTAGTCTACCCGTGCAGAGTCAGCAGTCCCAGTCCTAGGCAGTCCTGGTCCAGTCAAGCAAGTACAGCACGGGACTGTGTGCACTACGGGCATGGGAAAGGGCCAGACCAACGAGCTGCAGAAGTATAAAGCAAGAGGCAGCACCCAGTCATTCATTCATTCCTGCTGAAGCCATGCGGAAGCGCTGCCACAGTGACTTGCGCGAGGTGGTCTGCAGAGGAGCCTGAAGTCGAAGTGGGCTGGAGGGAGTTAGCGCAGCCATAGCTGCTGTAGTTAGTGTAGTTGGCGGCCATAGCTGCCGTAGTTAGTATAGGTGCGTATGCGTGAGTGTTATAGAGTGTGTGCGTGGCGTATCCAGGGTGATCCTAGTTGAGTGTGCGTGTGCAGCAGAGTGAGGCGCAGTGACAAACAGAGTGTTGTACAGGCGCTGTTGCGCCAAAGCCATTTGAATCGAGAGTGTATCTGAACTGTGTCCGTGGTTACCATATCTCTGAGCTTTGAGTGGGCGCCTGGCGCCAGTTTGCTGCGCAACCTGTTTGCATACGTGTGAAGTGTGGATGATTGCGAATCTGATTGCATAAGCCTCCCGGTAGAGGCCGACCTCCAAAGCCAAGGATGCAGTACCGGGTCAGATTCAGACGTCATACTGATCCCAGCGAAGATCGGTGGTTTACCAGAGAGGAACTGCGGCAGACAGCTCCCCAAGTGATTGCAGGGTATGAAAGAAGACTTGCCTCCAAACTGAAGAACTTCTCAGGGTACTATCGAAGTGAAGGAGGGAATGCAAGGATCTGGCTCCTCGGCAGGCCTAAGGGCCCCATTTTGGCATGTGACCGCCCTAAGTGAAGGCGGGCCTGTGAAAATCACGAAGGGCCCATTGTTGTCGATTTCACATTTGGGGTTCAAGCAGTTGCGTCGCGTCAGTTCGTTGGAAGAACCCAGGACACAGCCAGCCACACTTTGTTTTGGCCTTCTAGGCCTTTCTTTGAGGCAGGCCCTGCAGCAGGGTACACGACAGGCAGTTGCGAGTCGCAAACCGAACAGGGCCCAGGGCAGTAGCAACAGAGGCCCTGCCACCCGGGACCTACGGGAAGCTTCTGGGCAGGGGCCCAGCCCAGCCCAGCCAGGCAGCTCACAGGCCAGACTATTTCCATAAAGGAAAGAGCTCGCTGCCTGGCCAGACATTCGTGCACATGCTAGTTTGCGGCAGCGCTGCTGGAGCGAGCACTCGCGGGCTGCTGCTAGCACAGAGCAAGGTGCAGCGCACGTGCGGTCGTGTAGAAGGAAGGGCGCTTCTGAGGGCAGCACATAGCCCAGCTTCCATATCTGGCTGCGGCTTGGTGATACAGCAAGGTGTAGTGGTGGTCTTCGTGCATGAGGGAGAAGACGTGGGTGAAAGACAAGGGGGACAGCAAGAGAGAGAGATGAGAGGATAACGTGGGGGCACATACCTGGTTATGGCGATAGTCTGCAAAGAGGCAACATCTTCATGTACTCCGGTGGCTGCTGACGTCAACAGTCGTACTGTCAATTCGTAGGCAGATAGTAGCTGTGTGGAAGTAATATGGGCGCCGAGTGCCAAGTAGGGGGAAGGGCCTGGACACTTATGTTGGTGATGATGACAGTAAGCTCTCATTGACATTCGGTTTCAGTGTTTCGACTCTCCATTGGTGTAATATTGGTGCAATGCTGCTTTCTGGCTTTCAATGTGATTGTGCAATCTGGGTTCTGTCATCCCGCTATCGCTCATTTTCCTTGCATTTATCCTTTTCCTAACCAACGATTGAATGTCACACATCAAAGGTCAGACAACTTGAATACAGGGAAAGCAAAAGATACCATTAAAATCCAATTCTGCAGACAGTGCCAGACACGCACAAAAACAAATGTAAGATTCCCTGATTCAGGTGTAATTCCACGAGTGCAGCAACCCCTAAGAACATCCTTTAAAAGGACTTGGCCCAGGCTCGCCTGGATATACCAGAGCAGATCTCCCCAGGCTGCCCTCGTAACCCAGATTAGACTGTTTTGTCCATCCTGAAGTTCTGTTATGGACACAAACACATATCAAGCAGAGAAACTGTCATGTTGGGCCCTTGGGCAGAGGATAACCGAACCTTTAGTTTCCCAAGCCATTGTTGTGCAAGAGCTGCAAAGTCTTCACATATCCCTGCGCCATCTGATTTCTTCAGTGTCCTTGTTGGCAAATCTGCAAAGCTCTGCAAAGTAGCATGAACACAGAAGGATTAGTAATTCATTAGGATACCAGTCTAGCCAAGTGGGCAGTGAAGAAATCAGGCGACCCTGAAACAACAGCTCTTCTGCAATCAGTTGTTAAAAAATGGTGGCAGGGAGAAGCCAACGCCACTCAACACTATAAGAAGAATGTCTGGCCGAGGGGAGGTTCGTACTGCCTGTGCTGGCTTGTGGCCAAGTTGCTGAACTCAATGCTGGAGTTGGGAGATGCTGGCGCCAGATGCTGATGAAGGTCCCGGCCAGGTTGAGGATATGCTGGAGCTGCCGTAGGCGCCATAGCCGTAGCTGTAGGTGAGGAGGAGGACGACCCGGGCTGTGAGACTGATGAGAGGTTTGAGGGAAACCTTACCTGGAGTTACCTGGCGCCAATGTGATTAATCTGCTGCCGTTCTCCACAAAGGTGAGGAAGGACAGTGCCATCCTGCATAGGTCCATGTTGACTGTGGAAGGAGGGTGGACGCTCTGCTGAGATCTGCACAGTGACTTTGTCAGTGGAAGTCAGAGAGGAGCATGCATTGCTGAGGTGGCGATATGGGAAAAGCCCGAAGAGGAACCGGGATCAGGAGAGCGAGATGCGCATTTATTTATTTATTAAATGTAAATCTTCTCCTCCTCTATGTCTCCTCTCTCCTCCATCTATTCTTCAATGCTCTTCTATGATGGTCGCAGCTCACGACATGTGCAATCAATGCTGATATGGACTTCATGTTGACCGCTGGGTTCAGATGTATGCGACAATGCTGATGGGCTTCTCAACAAAACTGGGTTCATTGCAATGTAAATTTACAGGTACCTCTCTGCCAAGCACTGGTAAGGATCACCCTTAGAGACTTTCGCACTAAGCATAACAAAGGGAGGAAAGCAATACAAGGCCCAGACAGGTGAATGGGCAAGAGTGTGGTAAGCTGTAATGGTTGCCATCCTTAGTTCTACTCTGTAAAGAGGGTTTGCATCAGTAAAATTGAGCAACAGCTAAGCAATCCCAAGGTGTTAAAAGAACCTCTCTGAGATTATTAGGGGGTTTCCACTTCTCTGTCTGAGAGTGCTTTGAAGAATTGTCTGTTTAACTTATTCCGTGAGGTGGAGGTGGGGCTTTGCGCCTGGTTCTCGGTACAAGGTGCAGGCCCTTGTTGTTACGGACTCCGCCAGGGCTCGATCCCTGGTCTATCTTTTTGCTRTTTCGGCTGCATCCCGTTTTCGGCCTGGCACCCTTTTTCCAAACCCCTCCTTTGGTACCGTAGGATTTTGGACAACTGGCGCCATGCTGCAATTCGGGCGCCACTTTCAAATACCGCATTTTTCAGTTCTGCCCTTGGGGCCTTTTCAGAAATGCCCCTGGTACCGTACGTGTCACCGGTACTTATACCGGCTCCCCGTACGGTACGGGGACCAGTCTTGTACCAGTTTTCTGCTGCTGTA